GGATGTGGAGTATAGTGTGGGAGTGGAGTCAAGGGAATTGTAATAGATATGTATGATATCAGGCGGGGAGTGGGGTGGCAGATTGGGAGAGGGGGGTGGTCACTTTAAGGGGTAAAAAGTATATTGCACTGTGTTGTACACCTGAAACTAATTTAAAAAAAACCTCTCATACCTCCATACTTTCATAATTTACGGGGCACAGAAGGAGCCAGAGCCCATGGTGACTTCCATCTAACTGTGCCATCTGGGAAATGGCTTGCTGAGTTGGACTGTGGTTGCTGCTGTGGCACCTATAGTCTTACATAAGGTCTGCACATGGCTTTGGGATTAGAGATTGGGACTTGCTAGCTTCGGAGTCAAGTTGCTCTGTAGTTAATTATTTAGAGCCATATGGCACCACACAGAAACATTGTGTGTGTGTGTGTGTGTGTGTGTGTGTGTGTGCGCGCGCGCATGCGCGCGCGCACACACACTCTTAATTCATTTTTTCAGCAGCTGCTTTTCTTCTTCAAACAGTGTTTTTTGGGGGGCAGTAGTAGGTATCTTGGAATTCTTTCTAAAGAGAAATTCTTTCCTAAAACTATTGCTTGAAGAACACTTTATAAATCTGGAGTCATATCATGATCTTGCAAGATAATATTGTACTACTTTACAGAATTATGTCATATTAATAGTAAGGTAATTTTGAAAATCTCAATGATAATGACTTGGGATTACTGAGCGAACAACCAGGGTTAACTGATATATATTCTTAGCACTATTTATGATGTTGATTTGAAGCGGTTTTTGGCAGATGGAGTATGTCTGCTAGGTTTCTTTATTTTTCAAGTTAAATATAAATTTTTCCCTCAAAAATAATAAAATAAAGGTTGATAGGGTATAGAAAGGGGAAATTATACTTCTGATATTTTTTAGTTTTATTTTAGAATTCTCTCTCTGAAAGATTTACTTAATTCTCTTCTTCAAGTATAATTAAAGCATATGGCCAGTAATGCTAGCCTTCCAAAACATTTTTTTAGCAGCTCTGTGATCCCCCTACGTGTTGAGTATCTGCTATGATTTTAGTCTAGCATGAGAAGTGATGGGCTACAAAGAAATGAAATATGTAGATTTTTTTTCCCCCTCAAACATTGAGTGTTCCCCTAGTGAGAAACATAAACACAAGAAAATTAAGATAACAGTATGAGGCTGTTCATGATTACTGGTTACAAACAAGAAGAAGAACGATATTATATTGTGAATAGGAAAGCACTCCTTGGTGTATAGCATTCATTTCTGAGATATTTATCGAGCACATACTAGCATAGAGCGGAACATAAAGCATATTACATAATAGGCACTTAAGCATTTGTTGAATATTGTCAGCGAATAAGATAGATACTGTCTCTGTCCCCCAATTGCTCATAGTTTCTTGGCAGAAAAGAGCCATAGAAATGAATTATTACAACTCAGTGGTGAACGTGTTGATTTGTAGATTAAGTTAGAGTACTGTGCAGGCTGATTTGGGATAGGAAAGATGAACAGAATGAAGTGATTTGAGGAGGAAAGGATAGGTTGGGACAAGAGAGAGATTCCAGCCCAAAAGCAGCGTCAGTAGTGATTAATGGAAGTACTTAGTACGCAAGTTCTTAACCTGGGGTCTCCTTCAGAGAGTTTACCAGTTCTGGAAGGATAGGCGATGCTTTGCTCTCCCACACACTTTTCAGGGGGAAATAGTCTATATGTAATCACTTTGATTAGACTTTTTAAACCATGACCCCAAAATGATAATGATTGAGAACCAGGGGCTCAGTGTCTCAGTATAGTGTGCTATCTAGTCCCAGGTGTCCATCAGGTGCTAATAACTCTTAAGTGCAAAACACCAGGTACAAGAAGTACTTTCTGTACTGTCTGCTCTAAGTGGCTCCATTTNCTCTCTCTCTCTCTCTCTCTCTCTCTCTCTCTCTCTCTCTCTCTCTCGTTTTTTGGACCAGCCAAAAAGTTGAGACCTAGGAGACTGAAGAGTGTAGAAATTGATAGTGATAGTTGCTGAGTTCTTTTTACCTGTTTCTTGAGTAAAAGGAGACTTTGCTGTCATACCTAACCCATCTCTCCATCTAACCGAGCAATTAATTCTCTATTGGGTTGGGGGTCAGGACAGAAAGGGAGCATAGTACTCAGCACTTTCACAAATGTGATGCCCACCTTCCCTTAGATACTTGGTGACTTGGCTAACTTTCTGCCATATCACTGCTGACGACTTGTAACTGCTCCCTTTTGCAGCGACGTTAGTTGCAAATCCAGTACTTAGAAAACAGAGTAAAAACTTGACTTCATCCAGTGCAATTCTGTGTTCTCATGTTTTCCTCTCAGTGTGTAGGAAATCACTGATCACATAGAAACCGATTAGCAGCTGAAAATCACATAAGTAATTTATGATAGTCGTTTGGAACCAGATGGTTTTCTGATTGAAGGACCAGTAGTTTCCGTGGCTGTTTTCGTGTGTTAGTCGTACTAACCTTTTGTTGACACTGCCTGACAAAGAAATATCATCCGCAGTGGGAACTCCAGGAGATACATTAGCACAGAGAGTTATGTGTGCATAGTATTTTCATTAGCTTTTTGCCCTTGTCCTGGAGTGGTCTTGGGATGTGCTGTGCTGTTCCTACACCCCTCAACCCCCCGTTTGTTCTGGAAGGAAATCAGCAAATAAAATTTCTGGCTTTTACTTCATAAAGGGCAAGGGTTTTGAAACAAACTTTACACATTGTCTTCAGTGAGAGAGATTTTATCTGCTTTTTTTTTTCCATATTGCACTGTCTAAATAAAGCCCTGGATTTTTTTTCTCTCTGTAAACTATAAATTAATGTCATTTTTTCTGTTGTTGAAGAAATGATTCTTTTGAATTCTGACCTTTAAGATATATACGAGTGAATGAATACTTTATTGAAAGGATGTGTGTCAGCAGAAGACAATGTTTACTGTTTGGTGTGGTTCTGTACCTTAAGAAGTGCCCTGTTGCTTTCATTCTGAGCAATATCGATTTTAAAATATACCTTCAATTTAGAACAGCTTTTGGAGAATAAAGGAACATTAAATAAACCCATCAATTAGAAGATGCCTCTGTATGTTAAGAATGAAAGAACTGAGGAAATGTGATAGCCTGAGAGTAGTTATGGTGATAAAATGGCCAGGTTCTGTGATCAGATACACCTGGGCTGGATCCTAGCAGTGTGACCTCTTCTTGGCGACATTCTCACTGTGCCTCTGCTTCTTCACGTATAAAAACTGACATTGTAACATCCATCTTACATAATTATTCCAGTAATTCAGTGATATACTGTGCTGGTTAATTGGATATAGTAATGGTAGTAGCGATTGTAGTAGCAGTTATTGGAGGAAGGAACCTGATCTCAAACACTAGAGGTTTTCATTGGAAATAGCCATATATGTAGTCTAGCTAAAAAATACAATTAGCTAGGGAATAAACTGGAGCTACTTCCTCAGTTTCGCTTCTTGAGCACTTTCTCCTTCTTGGGCATTGCACATTTCCTATCCTAACTTGAATGGAGTCACATAGTCTCTAACCCTAGAAAGCAAGTTAATGTATAATTTTAGGAAAACAGATTGGGGAACTTTGAAAATGATTTTTTTTTTCATTGTGAGCAAGGAATATTGTTGTACAAATTAATTTTCAAAATGAAACCAGTTGAAGCCAGTGACTTTTGGATGCAGTGGCACTCCACGCTGGCCCTGCCCAGTGAGAGCTACACCAGGGCCAGCAGAAACCATTGTCGTTTACTCACCCATCTAACCTGTAATGAGTTGGGGGAAGGTCTCTGCTGTCTGTATTGTTGTCACTTCCACTGCATTGTGTGCAGTTTTGGTATTACATGAGTTGGGTTCAAGTGCCATTTAGCATGTCTTCAGAAAGATTACCTGGTGATTTGACACTGAAGCACAATGTACACAAAACGCCCTGGAACTGTTGGGTTGTCGGAAAAGTCATGATGTATTTTTTCTATGTTTTTCATTGAAAAATGCGTCATGACTTTTCCGACAACCCAATAGAAGCAGGGCAGTACTTAGATAGAAGGATAGCAAATATTTGTTATGGAAGAAATGACTGTCTTTCCTCATTTTCTTGCAAAGACAGAACCAAGTGCTTCCCCATGCCTACATACGGAAAATACTCACGTAGAACAGGCTCGGCTATGCTTTCATTTATTTATTTTTCCCTGAGATCCTTGCTAAGGGTTGCCTATCACATGCCAAGCAAGAAAGAACCAGCATTAAAACTTGCAAAATGGGAATTGGTGACTTGGAAAAATCTCTCTGAAGTGCTCTTAAGAAATTCTGCCTGCTCTCTCAGCATTCTTGATGACACAAGAATTGAAGTAATGCAAAAGTGTGATTGGATTTGAAGTAATTCGGAAGTGTAAGACGTTTCAGGAATACATCAACCATTTAACTGTGCTTAATTTTTTTTTTACATGGGCGAGAATAATATATACTAAAAATCTATGCCCGAAGTCAGAAAGTTCTTTCAATAAATATAACGTAAAAGTTTTAAGTGATAAAGAAACATCTTGACAGTTTAATCGGTGACATTTTTATTTTCAGTGGTGTATGCCATCTGTGATTATTGATGCAATGACTTGTTAATTTGTTACTGAAACTATAAAAGTAATTATTGATGTAATTATTGTAGGTGCCTAATGGATAAGAACTTCGTTAGGATTGGGAAATGGTTTGTCCGACCCTATGAAAAGGATGAAAAGCCAGTCAACAAAAGGTGAGTCTTTTAAATTGGTTTCTTGGTTTCTTTGCTTGACCACAACTATCTTGAGGGAAGAAGTGAGTGGGGAAAACAGCTTATTTCTTTTCTAATAATATTAGTAGTTTAGATGTATGAAAATAGATTCTTGGATTGCAGTTTGTTAAACTGTATTACAGAATTTCTGTGGAATATTAAAAATTGGACTAGAAAGATGATTATCAATAACCTATGTCTAAGATACACCTATTACCACACTATTTATAATTAAAATATTCTATTTTGTTATTTTATTATCCTTCTTTAGCTTTCTTCCTTAAAGCATTACATGGCATAACCTTAAAAACAAACAAGTGAATTCCAGTGGTGACAATAGTTATAGGATTGATTGATGCCCCTTAAAAGTCAGTCAACACAACCTTGACAGTTGTCAAACCAGGATTGTGAATTACTTCTCTAAACATGCTAAACTTTTAACCGTCATTTGTTATATACATGGCTTCAAAGGCAGTTCTTGATACTAAACAAGCATGGAGTTTAGATCAGTCAAACCAGAATCAACCAAAACCCTCAAAACTGAATATTTACAAATCTCACTTACCTCTGAACACAGCATAGACTTAATTGGAATCATAAGTTGGTGATTATTTCGTTTCCAAATAGCAGGGTACACAATCTTGATCCTATTTTACTGTCCGTGAACTAGCACTTTAACTAAGGGTCCCAGCTTCTGGCTGCAGATAAGAGCTGTTGAAGCCTTATATGGTAGCTCTAAGGTTAGATCTTTTGGGTAGTTTGCCAGAATTTCAGCTGTCAACTCTTGCCTCTTTTGGAATCTTGACTTTCTTAACTTCTTTGTTCCTACCAGAGATTTAATTAGCAGCCTTCTTTGCAACCTGTATGTCTTGAAGCTTTGATAAAATTTCAGTTTTGGAATCTCCTCATTAATCAAATTTATGAAAATTTGGGTTTCTTTTTTCAAATCAGATAAATTAAGGACTGGCAATTTTTTCCCCCATATCACCATGAACTTCCTTGAAATAGTTTCCCTTCTTTAGTACATTTAAAATCCATTAGGATTTATTAAAAAATTGTGTTTAAATAAGACATAGGTATTATTATATCAACCTTTGCCTGAAAAGGATAGTGATGCTTTTTAGAAAGGTGCCAGTGTGTAAAAGTGTGATTCTATTTACAGATGCTTTGATTAATGGAGAGACTTTTTTTTCTTTTATTTACTGACTTGGTCTAACACACATGTTCCATGGACATAATTATTCTTAGTGTTTTCCTTAAATTTATAGAGGACTTAGATTTTCTGAATGGTTAAAATTTTGACTTTTAATGTTGATGAGTGAATGGTTAAATATGGAATTGCATTAGCACAGTGATCGTCTTTATCATTCTCATAACTGGTCACTGATGAATTAACTGAACCAGTCCTAAATCTTTTGATCAATAGTTATAGGTTGTTTATGTGATGATGATTTGACAGGAATTTGAGGGACAAAGAGGAAATGTGGAAACAAAATAGTGATTGAAGGAGTAGCAATTAGTATTTTAATAGTAAAAAAATAATGTTTGAAAGTCAAATGTAGTTCTCAATCTATTTTATGTAGCATTTGTATACCTCTACACGTCATTTAGATCCCCAAAGTCTTCCTAACTTTAGCAAACCACGTGTAAATAATACATGTAACTTATTTGGATATTTGATTTTATATAACTGGGAAGCTGTTGATTTCTGAGCAATGCAATTGAATGATCTTGTTTTTAGACTGTATACTCTTAATTGAACGTGGAACTTTGTTTTTGTAGTGTAGAAATATTAATGATATTTTTTTGTTGAGGTAATATTAGTTAATAACATTACATAAATTTCAGGTGTACCATGTAACTCAATATCTGCATGCTCAGCTCCATACAGTCTAGTTTCCATCTGTCACCATATATTTGACCCCATTTGCTCATTTTGCCCTCTCCCACTCCCCTAAATGTTACTGATGTTGAAAAAATTTTTTAGAAGGCATTGTTAACAATTAGAAAATTTTAAACCAAAGATTGAATTGAAATAGTTGGCATTTGCTATAGTAAAGCTTTATTAAGTGTAAGGACTTTGCCACTTTTATTCTCCGAGTGGAAAATAGAGCTTCCTGGTGGATATTGAAACACGATCTCAGGGGTTGTCTTTATGGATGGACAGAGTGACGCTGTGGAGGAGGACATGTAGAATTATAAGATTTGGGGTTCCATCGCATCCTTCTCTTCGCAAGTTATTTGCCTTTGGATAAGTTGTTTAGTTTTTCCTGAGCTGAAGTTTTCATTTTTGCTGTTGAGTTGAGAATAGCAATTACTGGCTTAGAGGATTATTGTAAGGATTAATTGAGATAATTTGTGTGTCTGGTTTATAATTTAGTTAAGAAAAAGCAAAATTTAATTAATTTTCTTTAAGCTTATTATTATTTTTTGGTACCTATCAGTTTAGTGACCAATAGAGAGGAAAATTTGCTAAATACATTCAGTGCACAAATTATTATTTATAGGAATGCTCTTATTTGATGCCATTAGATAGAAATAAAAGGAATATGTTTTAAAGAATAATATTCTAAATATAAAGTAATACTAGCATATATTTACTTTTGTTCAATAGGTTAAAATATGATTTAACACACAGCGTATTTTATGTAGCTAAAATAATTTTAATAGTTGTAACAAATGAATATATTGATGAATAGGTTTTACCTGTTGGATTAATAGCATGATTTCTTGAGCTATAATTTCTCTCTGTCTTGGTAGCAAAACTAAATCACTAGCTGGTAGACTCTAAAATAGAGTTCTTAATGTTTGATATGAAGCAATGCTTAGGATAATTTTAGAAAAATTACACACACACACACACACACACACACACACACACACACACACGTATTAGAACAGACAGGCCCAAGAAGATAAAATAAATTTATTCATATCATTTTTCTCTGTAGTGACATATCTTTTGCTATTCATATCCTTGCGAATATAATAAGTAGGAAAGGAAACTTTGGTTTATCAAAGTCTTTGGCTTTGTCCTAAAGAATTATGACAACTAACATAAAACATACAAAATTTGTGGTTTCTAAAGTATGTTGAACTTGAAAAAGCCTTTGCTTCCAGTATATGCTTAAAAACAAACCAGTGAAAAATATATTTTTAAAATAATTTATAAATTATTTCAATCATGGAGCTTCTTTCTGTTGGAAAGGTACTCATTTTCTTATTTAGTCTAGTTTCAGCCCACATTTGATTGCTGTAGAATTTTAAGCCTATACACTTTAGTCTTTGAATGCCATTTTTAGCAAAATAATTGATTGCCCCCAATAACAGTTTGTACCTTTGATCTTTTCTGGTGTCAGGTATACAGTAGTTGAATTAGCACAAATATCGGTTAACAAAAATAACCAACTTGCTAGTGCATTTTTAATTTAATTAGCCTTCTCTTCTTCATGGGCAAACCTACCCTGCTCCTGGATGATACTCCAAATAGCTTCCCATGCTTTCAAATATTTGAATTACTTTTGTATGTGCTGTGTGCGTACACGTGCACTCTTTCTCTCTCTCTCTCTCTCTCTCTCTCTCTCTCACACACACACACACACACACACACACACAGGAAGTATATTATTTTGACTGCTTTTGTGTTGTTTCATGTGGATATTTACTCTTAAGCCTGGGATTATCTCTTTAATTTCTTTTTTATGTTCTTACACAACCTATATAATGTACATATTCAAGAAATGCCCTTGCCTTTTGGTTTTAAGAGCCAAAAAAAAATGAATTTTGCATACCAAGATGAAATATTTTGATGTGGGAGGACATTTTTTACCACTTTAAAACTTCTCTTCCCCTTTTCCTCACCCTCCCTTTCTCTTCACCTCTCACGTCTTCTCATCCTCTCTCCTGTACTCGTTACGGCCCAGCCATTTCTGTTTCCTTCTAGAGATGCAAACACAAAAAGACAGGGAAAGGGGATCCCTTGTCTGGAGGCTAAGCGGACATGTAAACAGATACTTACGTGGGAAAGGTAAAGGGACTCTCTTCCTAGTGTTCAGAACAATATGATCAGTAGTGATCATTTTTTCAGTTTTCCTCATAAATTTACTTAGCGCATGTGGGGCCATTTGCCTCATGTCTGTTAACAAGAGCTATCTGATGGGCAATCCATAAAAGAATATTCATGGGACAGTGTGGACTTATCTAAATCATGCACAATAGCTTTACAGCTTCTCCCCATAGATCTATAAAATACATAGCCACTTTCTTCTAGTTTATCTGATGGAAGAGAAGATATATCAAAAATGCTGTATATTTTGTCACTTAAATATGTTTGAGAATTGTGTGAAAAGTGAGAAGAGGGACGATGTTAATCCTGGGGAGCATCAACATTTACAGGATGGGTAGAAAAAGAAACATGTAAAAGAGGCTAAGAGAGGTCGATGAGAAATGAGAGCCAGGAAGTTTGGTGTCACCAAAACCATGGGTTTTTAACGTTTCAAGATTAATCAGCCGTGTCTGCTGTATAGTCCCATGTAAAATGGATACTAAGGACTAGCAGATTAGGCAGTTATGTAGACTTGGTGCCCGTAACATGAGCAGTTTCAGTAGAGTCGTGAATTTCAAGTGGCAGTAGCTCGAGTTATCATCAATGGGAGTTGAAATGAAGATACGGAATGGAGAGTTCTTGCTATATTTGTTACAAGTAGCTGCAAAGTGACAACTGTTGCATCTAGGAAGGGAGGAGACGAACATTTAATAAGAGCCTGTGATAAAACTAAGTGATACAGGCCGTGATTTTTAAGTGTGTTTCATGTACTGAGTACTCGGCTTTGTACTTCCACAAACATGAATAGAAGAGAGAATGTTAAATTGAAAGATCAGTTCAACCAGCCATGATGATAGTTAAATAGCTGTATGTATGTTTGCAGTTAAACTTTTTATTCTTTCTTTCCTTTTTTTCTTAATAACCAAGTAGAGATCAT